ATGTTATTTTATTTATCATTCTAGAACACAATGAGTGTTGCCACTAGAACACAATGAGTGTTGCCACTATACTCGCCGTGGCATGTGCCTTGGCATTTGCAGGCAGTTGCAAGTGCTGCCGGCATCTGCCACAGAGGCCACTACTCTGTGGCATCTGTGGCATCTGTGGCAAGTACTTCCGGCATATGCCACAGATGCCACAACTTGCCGAGGCATCTGTGGCAAGTACTTCCGGCTTCTGCTACAGAGACCACTACTCTGTGGCATATTAACATAATTCCTTTCTGTCATTGACTTTACCAAAGTCTTTATATATTTTGTTGGAGGATGGCGGGACCTACGATTTTCATTGCCATAAGCAATAGCTGTGCACATGATAATATAACCATTGTAATGTACTGGTTTAAACTGAACCTTTCACCCTTGATGGATTTCCATCATACATAATATACACATAAGGATTATCTTATTTTAATGTTGGTATACTTGACAGTAAGTGTGCTTCTATTGTTTATTTTATATATATATATACATTTACTTGAAAAGACTGTAATTTCCTATTGTTACTGTTTTACTTTATCACAACTAGTGGTCATTTTCTGTTTTTTTCTTATGTCAGTGCTCATTTACAGAGTTTGTGATTTGTGACTTATTAATAAGGAAAACATCATCCTTAACATTTTTTGAATTTATTTTTGAATTTTCTAAATTTGAAAAAACTAGATAAAATTAAATTAAAGTTAAAATCTTGTTTGTCATGCCCCAAGAACAATAAAAACACTTGGTAAAAAAATCCTGAGTGAGGCTTTCATAATTCATGCATGAAAGGGTTAAGAAAGACAAATATATGTTTCTATTGGTTTTAGTAAGATGGTTTATTATAGTGTATTCTTAGGTATTCTGTATATTGTTTATTCTTTAGATACTCTGTAGATAAATATCTACTAATAATGTGTATATTGTTTCCTGTTTCTTTTTATTATTATTATTATTTTATGTTTCCTATCCCTTGTAGAAACACTGCTGTAACGCAAATATTTTGACATTTTAGATCAATAAAGTAAATACAACGTATCATATCAAAATCTGTTTATGTTAATTAGCAACACAATGATTTTATATTTGAATGCATGACATATAAACTTTTTACTGCCTTATATTTGACCTCCTCATTCTCTGTTTGATACAATTCAACTTTATTGAATAGAATACAAATGAATTGAAATAATAAACTCTCCCACTGAACACTTTTTTTACTTTAAAATGATCAGTTACCTCATGCTATTTGTGTTATTATGTGTCATACCCTATATATGTGACGCATCTGAATACTTGCATGTCAAATCATATAGGATAAAACAATATGCGGAACTTAAAATCAAGGTTACCTTTAAATTATCCATCATGACAGGAAAAGCACAAATCTGGCCACCATTTACATTGCCAAGGTATCAATTTGTATAAATTAAACCTACGTGAGTACCACGCAGACATTATGATAACGTTTAGTATGATAAAAGTCAAGGTAATTGTATACTTCATTAATTAAGAGACAAATATTAGTCGTTTATGCTCCTTTAATGACTTCTTTGCAGTAAACTGACATTCAAACGGAGTGAAAAGTCATTGTTTTCTGACAGACTTGACCTTTTAAACTCTTCAGGTTGCATAGGAAAAGTTGAGTAAGTCAACTGCCATGCTTTTCTGTTAACCTTTTATCCTAACTCAAAGTATCAAAATAAAATTCCAATAATAACAATAAACCATGACAACGTGAAACCTTCATTGACCTTTTAATAGCCAGCGCCACCATTCGGCAGTGCGCATTTTGTGTCTTGATATTTAATATACTGTCATGATTGTCTTAATGGAATAACATGGTTTGTTTAGATTCACTGATATCAATATCAAACAAGAATCATCTGAAGCATTTAAATAAAAATGTTCAACCAGAATTAAAATATTAAACAACAAAACAGATACAATGACATTAATCTGTTTATTAACAACGAAAATAATACAAATTAAGTACATATGCCTAGATTTAAAATAACACATTTATACATGTGTACAATCAAATATAACTGTACTTTGCCTAATTTATAAAGTATAAATCTTAGCATCTCACTAGCAGTGGCAAATGCAATCAGTTACAGCTTCCCTAACTCTGTAGCCAAGTCTAATAACACCAGTGTACACGTTGCTGTGTCAATACATATATATATTTGTTAATTATTTGTCTTCACTAGTAATAATACACCTGGTTTATCGTAGCAAGCAGTGGAAACTCCCCTCAAGAAGCGACAATTGCCAAGGGCTTGCGTTGCAACCCTCACTCGCCAATATTTCTTTTTTATTACAATATCAGTTCGATAAAGTCATGCCTGAACAGCAACATTTTACACGATAAATACGGGTTTAAATAGCAGCATTTGCCACGGAAGGCGAGTGGCAGCTACCGTAAACCTTCTCTTACTCTGGCATCTTGTGGCAACTCCCGTTCAGCAGCGGCAGATGCCTCGGCAAGTTGTGGCATCTGTGGCAAGTTGTGGCATCTGTGGCATATGCCGGAAGTACTTGCCACAGATACCACAGAGTAGTGCACTACTCTGTGATATCGCCCCCCCCCACACACACACATTAGCCGCGTTCACACCAAGTACTTTGCCGTACTTAGTGCCCCGGCACTTATTAGGGAAGATTACGCAAATGAGCCGCTGACGTCACTTCGTCTTCTTCTGCTTTGGGTTTACTGGCAGGCCGCAAACAACTTCACGGTGTATACTGCCACCCGAAGTCCCCGGCCAGAAGTCCCCGGAGTTGGGGACTGGCTTCAGTAGAAGCTGCTGGGACTCCCAACAGCTTCTACTGAAGCCTTCCGAGTAAATCGCCAGAACGCCGACACCTCCTCATCTCCACCGCTCCCATGTTTTATTTTGTGTTGCCATAAGTTAGTCTCTCTGCGTTTGTGCGCTGGGCGAATGCTAATGCTAATAATGCTAATGCAAGGATAATAAAATGGCGGCTCAACAAAACATTTCAGAGTTTTACGGGGCGTGGTTTGCAATTCTCCCAGCCAATCAGAACTGGGGCACTTTTTTCCCCCAGGAAAGTACCATCTCTCAGCAGGCACTAAAAATGGCGGTAAAAGTTCCCGGCACTCAGTACTCTTTTTGGTGTGAACGCGACATAAGGGGTACTAACGGAACTAAACGCGAAAAGTACGGGGAAAAGTACTCCGGTGTGAACGCGGCTATTGTGTTCTTTTTAACCAAATATCTCTCAGAGGGGCGTGGGGAGTGGCTCCTTATTTTCATCTAAAGTAACAGACAGAGAATCAGCACTTTTGAAACAGGGCTGAAACAGAAGGGATTATGGGATGCTGCAATGATCTGTTTTGGTGTTTGGAGCCAAACACTTCAGAGACATGTTTTGTATATATCTGAGACCTATAATATATTGATGAAAAACAGTATAATAGGGGACCTTTAAATACCTGCTAACATTGTAATGGAGGGTATTATCTATATATAAAAAAATGTAAGCTGACAATTAATCAATTATTAGATTAAATGAATTGTTAAATTACCAATGTTATGTTGTAATACATGTGTTTATTAAAAAATTGCTTCGAGCAGTTATCAATACATTTCTATTAAATCTTATCGTGTGTCCTTAAATGATTATTACCACATCAGTCTAATATTGAATCATGATAATGGTTTAAAAAAGGAAAACTTACCAAAACAAGATTTAAAAAATACAAACATAACTTTTCTGAATCAATTAAATCTATTAAGTCAGTACTGTCACAAGCTGTCAACCCTGTCACGACAGGGTCAGTCCTGGCTGTCACACAGGAAATTATAATACAGAAATTGACTTTTTTATTTTTTATTTAAGTGCAATAATTTCTGCAATTGTGAGCATGGAGGTGGGGGGTCATATCCACATCAGCTGTTTTTAAAAAGAATTGGTGTAAAAGTATTTTTTATATTTTTACAACAATATGACTACCTGGTGATTATTCTTTCCTTACTGTCTACTACAATTAACTGATAGGTTGCTAATAATTCTTAAAAGGATTAAAAAAAACATTTTAGATACAATCAGGGACATGTGATCAATGGGAAAATGCTATTTGTATTAAAAGAATATATTAGGAAACCATTCTACCGTACTCACATTTGTCTGTGACAGGGCCTGACATCTTAAGGGTGAAACTTGATTTGATTCAATAATAAAAACATGCTGAGATGGGACAACAATATGTGTTCCTAACAGTTTAACATGTTCTCCATATGACCTGTTTTTGAAATTGAAAGAAATAAATAATTTTTCTTCAGTATATTTAGATGTGGAAATATACGTTTCTGGTAGAATGACTATTAACCTTAATCTCGATGTAGTGCTAAGTGTTCGCACTGTCTGCACAGACACACACACACACACACACACACACGCACACGCACACACACACACACACACACACACACACACACACACACACACACACACACACACACACACACACACACACACACACACACACACACACACACACACACACACACACACACACACACACACGACTTGACTTGTGACTTGTGTATTGCTTGACCTGAGCAATGACTTGACTTGACTTGCTTGACTCTCACCACAGTGACTTGGGACTTGCTTGAGACTTATCAAGACTTGAGACTTGCTCATGACTTGCAAATGTATGACTACTCCCACCTCTGAGCAAGACTGGACACTTCATCCAAGTTTTCTCTTGTGGAAATTGTTCACAGAGTTGAGTAGATGTAGGTCGCTGGCTTTGTAATATAAATTACATTTAATTTATACAGCGCTTTATTTTTTAATGATTATTATTATTGTTCTTATAAAGCACAATATTTGATTAAATGAACTTGTTACTTTCCACCACTGGTGGCGGTAATGCACCTCTGAACTCGTTGTCAACCGCCAATACAAACTAACTGACCTGGGGGCGGAAGCGGAACTACCAATGTGTTTAGCTTGTACGTATCAACAACTCTTAACGTTGTACACTTTAGCATTTTCTTGCACCCCCATCTATCTCCAACGAACCCCTCTACAGTTTCACCCCCGGTCCAAATTCCAAGATGTTTAACAGACAGACCAGCCTGTGGATGGGTGATGTATGTATCTATAAACAGCTTTCTTTCAGTGTGGTTAGCTTAGCTACGAGTGCTGGTTGCTAGCTCGGATACCTTCATTTAGCCCCGAATATGTATCCGCTTTTGTTAAAAGGTTAGACCAAAATATATATTTATATACCTTGTTACCGATACGATACCTTTTTCCTTCAATAGTAACCAACATTGTGTGAAAAAAGCATCACCAAAACCTTTAAACACAATCATTGCACACTAAACTCATCACCTTGAAGCAGGCGTTAACGTTAGCGAACAATTGCCTTATTACGAGCTCACGTAAACAGTTTACTTAAATGCTATAATGCAGAATTCGCCCAATGCATTTCATCGTCACAAGAAATGGAAGTGACGTCTCTCGAGGCGAGAACCATTATGTTTAAGTTTTCATTGATAATGGCCCCATTCCCTGTATGTTTAGGGATTGTGCGTTCTGGCTGTCTTAAGGCTTTTTGGGATACCAAAATAGAACAGAGAGAGAGAGATCATTAAAGTTAATAATAACACCCTAGTGACAATTTTAATAAAAAAAGTGATGAATCGCATTTTTTTTCAATTATAATCTAATTTGACAATTTAATTCACACTTCACAATTTTTGTAGTATTATCAGGCGTAAGTAAATATCCCGCTGGTTTTGTAACAATATTATACAAATGTTCTTACAGTCTTTAGAAAATAAAGATATTTACTGTTATAAACGTTTGTCTTCAATGCTATCTAAGGAATCTCCACTTTCCTTTCCTGTGTTTAGTTGGACCCATACATGGATGAGAACTTCATCAAGCAGGCATTTAGCGCTATGGGAGAATCACCGTTTGGAGTAAAGATCATCACTCACAGGATAACAGGGTAAGATATACAGAGCACATTATGCCATACACCTGCCCTTCTTTTCAAGCTTTGAGGACAACTGTTACAATATTAGATGTGCTGGTAGGTTTCCTCATCAGACATGTCGAGCAGAGGTTGATGGCTTTGGCTTAAATGTAGGGGTGCTCCGATCGATCGGCCGCCGATCGTTATCGGCCGATATTTACTCTCTGCCGATCGATCGGTGCTCTCTATAAAGGCCGATCAGGAGAGCCGATCACAGGACGTAAAATACATGACACTTTTCTCTGTGCGCGGCAAAACAAGCTCGCCAAAATGGCTTCACCAGTCTGGCAGTATTTTAAGGTGTCTGAAAAAGACAATAAAATAGCGGTATGCAACGTGTGTGAAGCAGAAATCCTGTCGCTCCACCCGCTGTGAAGGACCGGTGAGCGGAGCAAAACACACAGCAGCATTAAAATCTTCTAACGCTTCTGCCCATTCACTTTGAATGGGGTGACGTCACTTTGCCTCACTTTTCGCCGAACTGCATTGTGGGAAGCAGAGCGGAGATTTTCAGGATTTTCAGGATTCAAAGTTGAGCAATGTTCAACTTTTGAAGCTGAGGTGGAAGCGTCAGCCAATCAAATCCCGTTTATGCAAATCTGACAGTTCAAACGCTAGCCAATCAAACCGCGTGTATGCTGGGAGTGACATACCGCAGTTCATTTCCTCATATTCCAAAAAATGGAGGAGAAATTAATTATAGCGGTAGGGAATCACCCGGTGCTTTATGACCAGTCCCTATTTACCTACCGGGATACAAACCGGAGGAGCCAGGCATGGAGGGAGGTGGCAGAGACAGTGGTAGGTTTTCGCCTGTTTGGGGAGTTTATATCCAGTTTACTTCGGGCTTTTTTGCTTTGTATGTCGGGGGCGAGAGATTCATGTGATTGGTTGTTGGTCGCGTTGCTCGCAAAAAATCCCCAAGCTTCAGATACGCCCACCTCCAAGATTTTTTTAACGCTGCTGTGTGGACACTCCGTAAGAGTTAGACCTAACACACTTAGCTATTTTATCTACCTCTGGAACAAGCTAAACCTGTTATAAATATATGTATTACTCACTGTCGGGTAGGGCTGCTCGATTATGGCAAAAATCATAATCTCGATTATTTGGGACAATAATTGATATCACGATTATTAAAAACGATTATCCATTTACTTTGAAAACATCAATTTATTGGAGAAATTGTTTTTGAACAGTATGTTTTTAACAGTTGATTACCCTGAACTTTAAGTATAATTCAACTGAAAAACCAATTAAAAAAAATGTAATATAAAAAATGTAATATAAAAAAAAAAAAATACTGACAGGCTGTCAAGAGAGAGAGAGAGAGAGAGAGGAAAAGAGAGCGCTTCCGCTCGTTTCTCCCGTGTTATTATCCAACGTTAATGTAAACTAACGGGAGGCTGTGGCTCAGTGGTTAGTGCGCTGAACTTCGAATCAGGGGGTAGCAAGTTCGAGTCCCACTGCAGTCCGCATGTCGTTGTGTCCCTGGGCAAGACACTTCACCCCAAATTGCTCCTGTGGGGATTGCCCACAGTACTTCATGTATATAAGTCGCTTTGGATAAAAGCGTCTAACAAGTGAAATGGAAAGTAATGTAAACTTGAACAATGTACTTCATTTGAATGCAATAATTATGTTGGTTGTTGTTTGTGGAAGCGCATCATGTATTGAAAAATGTATCTGAACTTTTCGATCCGTTACGATTATAAACTGAAGCAATATAAAAATGAGCTCATTAACTGAGTTTTAAACATCATTTTAAATGGAAGATCCCCATAGCCCCCACCCACCCTATGATCGGATCGGTATCGGCCGATACTGATTCCGGTGATCGGCCCCAAAAACCCTGATCGGAGCATCCCTACTTAAATGTTAGCCCGCCTGCACAAACACAGTTACAGGTAGCCCTGCAAGGGTCAAGGCTAAGGCTGCCCTCAACTAAAGATTTTTCTGGTCGACCAATAGTCGTCAATTAAGGCGATTAGTCGACTAATCGTCGCACGTTTATGATATGTTATGATAATAAATATATACATATTTTATAATTCTTTTTTTTCCACCCAAAATGTTTTCTGTTTCAAAGGCTGATAAAGAGCGTTATTATAAAAGCATGGTACGTTGTGCTTCACATAAAATATTAAATAAAACTATAATAATTAACCTTTTGAAATATAAATCAAATGTAGAGAGTGCATGATAGTCACAGCGCACTGCACGGACGCAGCGGTCCGCCCGTCAGCGGTATAAGCCTGCATTCAGGAAGCTGTGCTCTGATGGTGTGTATATGGAGGAGACTTTTTGCCGTCGTAGTCTGCATGTCCTTTACATGCTCAGAAGGATCCACACTTTGGACCAAATTAACTCAATGACCAGGCACAGTTCTGAATGAAGTCTGAGGGGGTTTCCGGCTGACGCGTCATAGCACATGCAGCGCACGGATGGAGCTTTTTTAAATTTTTTTGACTAATGAAAAATGTGTCGACAAATACTTTTTTCGACAACTAACGTTTAGTCGACTAATTGGGGGCAGCCCTAGTCAAGGCTAACCTATAGCATACCCTTTAGTTGAAGGCTAAATAATCAGGTTGCCTTTTTAAGGTGGTTTTAATGTTTTTGATTTAATACTAAATGTTTCTCTTTCTCTGTCCTCTTGCAGCGGTTCAGCCGGATACTGCTTTGTTGAGCTTGCAGACGAAGGAAGTGTCGACCGCTGTGTCCAAAGACTAAACGGAAAACTTGTTCCTGGATCAAACCCGGTCAGTTTCATGGTTTAATTTCAAAATACTTACCGTTATACCTTTCATTCAATCCCTACTGCAATATTGTTTCTCCACAAATATTCATATATTATTACAAATTTAATACTGCCTTTCATTTTTTTCCCAGTATTAGTCCATGTTTTCAAGCAGTATTTTATTGTTGATTTGACTGTGGATAGTGGAGCTCCACTAGTCTTGGTCCTCCTTTTGCACTACATTAACTCTTACTACTGACAGTTGATAAGTCAACATATTATTAGGCTGTAATTTGGCTCCGTAACAGACCAGATTCTGCAATTTTCTGTTTGTGTTTAAAAAATAAATAGAAAATACCACTATTCTGCCTTCCCTGTGGGTTTTAATTGTAAGTGTTTACAAATAAGCGATATTAAATACCAGTAACACATTTTATTTATTGATAAGTAAAACTATATTCTTTATCAGCTGCACTAAAAGCCAACCTCATTGGTCTGGTGATGTAAAATAAATTTAAAAAATGTCCCGCTAGCGCAGAAATGATCCAACATGTGTAAAGTTGTGGGCTTTAGCTGCTTGCTACTGAATTGAAATGCTGTTGGCCCGTGTGAGCTGGCCAAGCTACTGGGCTCCCCTGTCCTACTGCTGAAGGTGGCTGAGAGGCTGCTTGTACATGAATGTACTTTGTTTGAAGCTGGTGAATAGAGTCTCTGGTAGGAACTAACTGAGGAATGGGCTAAAGGCTGGTCTGGGTGGTGGAGGTATGTAAACCCAAATAACAACAACCATAATAACTCTGATCTCTATTTTCAGCAATTTCAGTGCTATACTACAAGTCTTTGGTGTTTCACGTTGGCTTAGTGTGTGTGTTCTCTCTCTCCCCTTTGCAGCCCCGGAAATTTAAGCTAAACTATGCCACCTACGGGAAACGGCCAGAGGCAGGGTAAGTCATTTTTCACACTATTCACAAAAGGTTGCCTGTTACTCTAAAAGTTAACATTTAGAGAATTATGAAAAAAGCATACAATTCAGCTATTATTTAAGCCTCAGTAAACCTATTACCTATAACCTGAGATTGAGGAAATGTGTACAAAGTAAAACTAACATAACCCTTAATAGAAAAGATGTGTTTGAAAAAGAAAACATTGAAGATATGTCGAGATGAATTACCAGTACAAATTTTGTTTGTTTTTAACATTAGGCTGTATTACTTTGTGGGAATGTGTACGAGTGTTAAAGTCTCGACTATATAGAGCTTTGCCTCAATCCTCTATCTGATATAGGTCAATTCATTTCTGCTTGTTATTATCAAAAAGATGACTTATTTGTGTTTTGATTGATGTACAATTTTTAACACCAGATGGTAAATGGAGGGTAATGGGGTTACAGTGTCCATTCAATTATACGCATGCACATGGCATTGTATTAATACATGATTTACTTTTATAACATAGATATACTTTCATTATTAATAAATAAATAAATGTATTTGTTTTTCTCCGGTTCCAAATTAACTTTCTCCATTTGTTTCACTTGTATTCTTTTTTCTTTTCTTTTTTTGGCCAAGATGGGTTGTATCCCATTGCATATTATGTGGCTTAACCAAATATAACGGGGAGGAAGCAGCTTCTTCCATACTTAAGAGGTTCAGAAATCTTTTCAAATTAACGCCAAGGCCTTCTCTTAATAAATAGTTATTTCGCAAATGTAGGAAAGGCACTCATTCATTTTTTTCAGGGTTTCAGGTAAACATAACAAAAATGGCATTCCCAAAGTCAGCTGCCCCTTTTAATGTTTGACAGTGTGTATCTGTGTTTGAATATATATTCAACGTTGTTACTTCTCGCAGGCCGGAGTTCTCAGTGTTTGTGGGCGACTTGGCCTCCGAGGTGGACGACTTCCAACTGCATCAAGTTTTCAAGAAGTACCTTTCCTGCAAGGGAGCCAAAGTAGTTACTGATCAGTATGGATACTCCAGGTACGTCGGCACATAGAGGTGGACCAGACGGCGTCAGAAATGTTTAGTATTAAGATTGACAATAGGTTGATTTATTCATCATTTGTAAGAAATATACAATAATACAACAATGTTTCCTGGTTTCTGTTTAATTTAAAAACCACCAGTACATCTTCATCTTTTTTCGAACAAAGGTTGAAGAAATGTTTACGTGCCGTCTTGCTAAAACTATTGTTTTCCCCATATAGGCTAAGCAAGAGCAACTCACAATTCAAGTGATGCTACCTCATGTTAAAAGTAAAACAACAAGTTTCAGTTCTACCATAATAATACCCATTCTATTCTGTTTTTCATAAGTGGCTATTAAATGCCAAGTATGGAGCGTGTGTCGGATGGAGAGGAGGTTTAACGGTTGTTTCACCTGCAGAGGCTACGGCTTCGTCAAGTTTGGGGATGAGGGCGAGCAGAAGAAGGCGATCGAGGAGTGCCAGGGTACGATGCTCGGGGGAAAACCGCTCAGACTCAGCATTGCTGTGGCAAAGAGGTGAGAACTAGGACAGGAAACATGGCAAAGTATCCAGACTACAAGCTACGCCAAAGACCATATAATGTTTATTGACAATGCCTCTTTGTGTGTTCATGCGTGTCAGGCTTATTGAGACTTGTATTTTATCCGTTTTCAAGGAAGCATTTGCTTGGGAAATAATAATGGGGTTTTTTCCCTCTTTTTTTCATGTTGCTTTTGGTTAAAATGGGCTTTAATAGAACCCAATAGGTATTTTGGGGTTGCACCGCTGAAGCAAAAGAGCCTTTGTAAATCAATTTGTTATCATTGCATTGACATTTTAAACCAACTTTTTTTTATTTTAATATGCAAACCCAATTATACATCACATTACATTATAATGAACTTTAAATGTTTGACTTGATTTTTTTTGGAGGAACATGTTTTTGCTGAAACCTGCTTATCCGTTTAATAGTTGATGGATCAATTAATAGAACCTTTGTATTAATGAATTGCGTTGTATTTCTTATGTTGCAGCCAAAAGATGAGCAACTACCATGGGGGCCAGGGCCAAAATTTCCATAGCAACTACAACCAGTCCCAGTCCAGTTACTATGGCACCCAAGGCAGCGGGGGTCAGGGGGGTTACTACCCTCAGTGGGGAGGCTATGACCAGTACAGCGGCTGCAACAGCGGCTACAACTATAACTACGGGCCCTATGGATACCCCCCACCAGGCCAAATGGTGCCACCACCTCCCATGGGGTTCCCCCCAACGTCTACAGACATGTCCGGAGCTGTAGAGGTGAGGAGAACACGTTCACACCCATGTTTGTAGGAATAGATTGAGATGCTTGGTATCTGTGCAGTGAGTAGATATGATTCAGGATCAGTGGTCGCGTGAACCGAATATTTTCCGTCTATGACGGATTTTTTTTAACAATGACTGAAAAATCTGAAAGCAGTCTGTCATTTTGACAGATTAGAACAAACTTGGAACAGCGCCAAAGTTTCCCCACAGCGAGGCTCCGGTGTTATGCCGTGTTATGCATGCCCGCCAAAAAGGAAATGATATTGTTTCCAAACTGTACTTTGCCGTACAAATCATTGAAATGCCTGTGAGTTTTCGCTTTACGCGCTCCCGCGAGGTGTATGCTTATCTCGGTGGGCATGCATAACACGGCATAACACCACCACTAACAGTTCACGAGCATGCTCTTCCCCCCCCCTACCGACTATTTTCCTTCCCATTTCCATTGTTTGTGCTAAACTTGCTAACTTGAGCATTACATTTATTGTAAAAAGACAGAAACAACCAAAACATACTCTGTGCTAAACTAAATGAAAATATATTCTAAAATAGAGATTATTTTGTTAGGGAAAGGACATTGTGACCTTTGACATTTAACCCCTTTTATGGAAGTACTTTAATGATGCGAAATTAGAGTATGTCAAAGAAAATACTTTGTTAACCAGGAAGACATCTTTGTGTTTCAATACTTTTACACAAAATAACTCAAATCATCTTGAAACAAAGATTGGTACAAATATTCAAGGTGTTTGTTACAAATCTTGTGTATATCACAACTTGGATATGGATTTTGCATGATAACCAGTATTTTTTATTAATGTAATAAAAGTACACTTAATACATTAGGGCTAGGACAATTAATTGACAGCTATTAAAGAACCATTTTTAATTAATATGCTTCATATTAATTAAAGAACCATTTTTAATTAATATGCTTCATATTACAACGGTGCAGCCCTAACATTTCAGAAATAATTTCACAATATCTGATGTTTTCCCAGCAGAGCCACGAGGAGGGTGGGGAGATAGATGAGGATAATTCAGAAGGTAAGACTTTTTATATCATGGAAAGTTCTTTCTATGTTTCATTGTTATCTTATAGGATATGCTGTAGGCGTGTTAGTAGATGCATTCTTGTGTTGCTTATTAAGATGCTTGGAGCACCTTTAATCAGACATTTCCATATTTACAATAACTGGTTAATTAGTTTATTTAAGTGTCATACTTATCGATGTAAATATCTCACAGATGCAACTCGTAAATGACAAATGTACAACTTCAGGGTTGTCTGGTTCTTATCCCAGCAGCTGATGAGGTGTCAAGAATAATTGTGTGAAGACGTTGAATTATTTACATGCTCCTGTGAGCTTAAAATCTGAATGTGTACACGTTTTGGTCGGTGTTTACAGAGCCCATCCCCGAGTGTGACGTGGAGCAGTGGAACAAAGATTTTATGCAACGCAGCGAGGAGCTCTATGACGCCATGATGAGCTCTCACTGGGAACCCATGGACTCTATTACCTCCCCCATCCCGTCCCTTTCCTGATAAATCTACTTATTCTGATGCCCTAAACGTTTCAAATATTTCTCTTTTTATGATATTGTTCTTCCCATAATATGCCATGATCACAATAATGTTTGAAAAGGCCAACTTCAGTTCACTGTCTGTCACTGACACTGGCTACCTAAGCCTGCCTGAAGGCTGAGAGTGCATGCATATGCACTCGTTCCTCATCAAAAACAACACAAATATTCACTTAATTTTAATGTTTACCATGTTGGTAATTTTCAGAAAAGTGTTCTATAGTCAATGAAATTATTATAGTACATACGATTTTTATGAACACCTCAGTAAACCAGAGCAGGTTTATGGCTGTAGCATTGGAAACTGAATGTCATGTGTCAATGTTTCCCCATTTATGAATATCACTGAAGTCTTTTGTTGATCCATGTTGAAATGGTGACACCAGCAAAAGCTTGCTTCGTTCATTGGACTTGACTTTTTAAAAGAGATTTTTTTTTCCACAAGACAAGTTCAAGCTATGCCTTAATTTTTTCGCCATGTACTTCCTCTTTGTCTATGATGGACATTAAAATGATTTTGTGTATACAGGATATCAGTTTTTTATGGTCTTGTTCATTTTTTAATGAAGGACTTTGCGCCCCCATTTTTTCTATTTGTTCTTTATAGATTAAGTAAAAGACTTTTGGGCTGATTATGACATTGAATTTACTCAACAGCAATCAATCATACATTTAATTTATCACTGTTTTCCAGATGATGAGCTCAATGTCTTCCTGTATAATGGATGAATGGTCCAACCTCCCAATACTTTTGAGTGCTGTGAAACTAAAGGTTTTTTGAGGTTGACTGCTGAACTGATCAGATGTCAAGGCAGCATTCATTTCTGCTGTTTGACAGCTGATGTTTTGTATATATTTTCTTTGTGGAGATGTTTTATCAATAAAACTGAGGAGGAAAAAAGTATTTTGTCTTTCCGGAGAAGTGTTTTTCCTGCAGCTGATACGTACTGTAAGGTTATTTTCTGGGAGGATTTAAAAACAGTAATGGCGCCCCCATTATCCTCAGCTATACTTTGTGTTATGTGCTAATTAGCATATTAGCTAACAAGTTCAGAAATTGAGGTTGAACAGCCCCGCTGAACATTAAAGAGGCCCTATTATGTTAAAAAAAAAATCTTGTGTTAGATCCACTCCCCACTTAAAAAAAATAGCACTTCACCCCTGCACCCCCTCTAATCGCAGATGCACCCTGAGTCATTGTGTTTAAGTACAATGAGCCTTTCTAAAATATACAGTAAAGAGACAAACCCACCAGCATTATAGGATATACTATGACTTTGAGCCAAATTCTTGTTTTTGGGCTGTATAAATACATTGACTTGAAACAGTTGCTGATTTAGAGTACTGGCACCTTTTTTATTCCAATTCAAGCACTGGTGGCACTAGGTATTGTGCTCACGTGCAGCATTTCATTTTCCAATTCAGCTGTGAGATCCTTGTATTTTCTTGTCAGTGCCCGGCATGTTGTCTTTATCAGCTCTTCAGTCATATCTGTCAGCTTGAGAATGGGCGCAAATGTTTCACATACTGCTGCTCTGATATTGAACCTTGCACTCAAGTCACAGATAATGCCATCCATTCAATTGAAAATAATTTGTTTCTGAATGCATTTTCTGCACTCTCTTCAACTAGGCTACATGTTCTTGTGCAACCTTGTCTCCTCAAAATTATGTTCCCACAGAACTAAACTGCATTCTCAATTATAGAAACGTAATTAAGTAAGTAACGTTATTTTCTCCCACATTAGGCTACGATTGTTTTGGACGTAACTCAAATCCGTTTATTTTCTACATATATTTGCCATTTATTGTCTTGCTTTCCTACAATGCGCCCGACCACGCACGGGGCTGCTATTAATTCGAACAATCTTGCTGGCCTTTATTCAAATTATTATTATTAGGATACTATACGTTTATACAAAGAGAAAAGAATGTGCCGATCTTACGTCTTCTGGCCACAGAATTTTAGAGAATTTTACACCCGGAAGTACGTATTCTCTCTAATGTCGATTGATTTTACAGTGAAATCATCAACTCAACAACACCAGATTATGCCTGTTAATTACACAAAATTGTGAGGTTTAAATTGTGTACAATGCTTTTGTGTTTTTCCCCTTCGATTCGGATAAACAAATCGTTTAATCGTAGCCATCGATCATCTTAAGATAAGATATACTTTATTGATCCCAAGTTGGGAAATGTTTTCGTTACAGCAGCATGTAGGCTACAACATGCAATTTATTGTTACTTTGTAATTCTACTCCACTACAATTCAGATGTTAACCTGGTATTTTTACTCCACTTCATTTATTTTAATGACTTTGCAGATTTGGATTAATGATGTGAAATATAAACAACCCTTAAATCAGACTTTAGTTACACCTGAGTAAAATTCAGTGAAGGTGATTGTCAAGTGCAAACAATCAGGCGAGATATTTGATAGTTGGGGCTTGAGAAGACTAAACATTTATATGAAGATTCCTATAAAGCATAGTTATTCTCTGGTTGATTAAAGACTGTATGGCTATTTTGCACATCCCTTTCAAGATTTCAAGATTTTCTAAGGTTTATTGACATATCATTTACACACGGTGTAGTTATGCAATGAGCAGGTTCCTAAACAGTGCATTACAAGACATCTATCAATACCTATGTGTGTACCTCCACCATTAAACTGTCATATTCTGCACTAATGCGCTAAAAGCCGAAACCAGAGTTATTTCCCCTCCAGCATTCATGTGACAGACAGCAGCTGAGACGCAGCGGCTGGGATGCGGAGCTTAACCCTTTAAAGGGCACTCATTGAAATACTTTGAAATTCAAAATGTCAACCCTAGTCTAGTGTTATTGGAGAACATAAGACCTTTTTACTTTTGTGACATTTTCCAAATGTGTTCCTCTTCATGTATAAAATCAAGGTCAATGAAGTTACCATATGGTTCCTTGCCTGTTTGTGGTAAAAACAAATACAAGAAAAATAAATATTAGGTGAAAGGAACATTTATTTGAGAACATTATAACATAATATAGGCACTTAAATAATAAACAATGCTGCTCCCCCTCCCTCCCTCAAAATAAGAGACACACGGTCTCAGTTTACACCAAATCACTGCACAGCTGCACAGATGTGGGGCAACATCTCAGAATCTGCCCCTCCCTTGAAAGAATATGTCCAGCTCTGCTCTGTCATCCTCTTTGGTGTTGAAAGTGGTGTTGAAGTCAGTTTGGTATGTGATATGCCTGATAACTTTGGGACCAAAGTACCTTGTAAAGTACTGAAAAGGGGTTTCAATGTAGTCAAGGGGGGAGTGCTGGTATTCAGGCAGTGCTGCGTTGTCCAATTCAGCTTTGTGCCAGGTGGTTGGCCTTGATGCTGACTTCCTGGGTTTGGTGGGCCTCTTGGCTGCTCGTTGTCGCCGTCGTCGTCATTACATTGTCCAACACATGCAAAAAAACATTAAACAAATGTTATAAAGTCATAAAACTGACAAAATAGATAAAATAGAATATCATATTCACTATAGCTTTAACATTTGTAGAAATGGGTTAAACTTTTCACTGAATGACTGTGTGTATAATGAGTGTTATACTTTGGCAACATTATAACATAACATCCTAAATTGTATTGCCTTATTTCTAAGGAAAATGCACTATATGGCTTACTAGACGCATCGGGCGTATGTCCAAAAATGTACATAACATAGCCTACTAACTCTAGTTTGACCTAAACAATGTATGTTAGTCAAGTTAACCAGGTCCATGTTACCTGGCCATAGTCATGATTTAGGTCTCCCCTCCCCCAGGGTCTTAGTGCCCGGTAGATTACATTGTAAAGTATGAAAGGGTGTTTTGAGGCTATTTTAATTTCACTAACTTCTCTGCAGAAAACACGAATGTCCTAACCTAGCACAACCATAACATTTGTGAGTTTTCGTTATTTTCGATGTTTCATCGAATTCCGTAAGTAAACCGAGTCACCAAACTGCTTTTTCCGACTTTCTGCCTTCTGTGACGTAGAGGGATCTTTGCTGATTGGCTGGGAGAAAAACACATGCTTCTCGACCTCACCGAGTTGCGGGGGAGACGCCATGTTTGGTGTGCGTCGTTTATGAGTTGGATAACGAAACTTTTTTCAGTCATAAAGGACAATGTTTAGGTGAGTGGAGCAGTTAACGTTATATTCTGCAAAGTTTGGGTGAGCAACTGAGCTTTTTTAATAGGTTACATAATTTATAAGGTCTATAGAGTGGTGCAGGGATGACGTATTTTTACCAGGAAATAAGTTGCGCATGGGTTCCCTCGACAAAAAGCAATGGGATTTCTCCATAGGATTTTGTAAAATAGCTCGAAATAAGGTCTGTGTAAAACGAACCTGTTTGATAAATGCGCGTTTTGTTCAGCCGGATAATCTCCACATGTCTACCTTACTTTTATAATGTTCGAATCATAAATCTAATCGCCAGAAGCAAAATGCTAACCTTATGCTATAAACGAACCACAGCAGGGTCGCACGACTTCAACGTCACGCCAATTTAAGATCGATATTCAAAAATACAGATTCAAAATGGTACAAGTTGTAGTTTTTCTTTTAACAGTTTGCAGGAGTCAGTTACTTGCTTTCAAGAACAAAACGTGATCCGTCTGTCGACCACAGACCTTATTTCCAGATATTCTCCAAAATCGAGGGACCCGGAAGTGGTAAAATGCTAACTCACTTCTGAGTTTTAGGACTCGTCACTGCACCACTCTATAGTCTACCTGTTCCTTCTCACTTAAACAAGACTGAAGCTACGCAATGTACTGATGTGGATGTAGTAGTACAGCAGTAAAACGTGTATGTTTATTTACAAACAAAAAAGTTAATTATCACTTTACAAGTAGGCTATAATTACTATGATGATCCAAGAAAGGTTTTGTTATAAGTGGCCTAGTAGTGGCTCTGGGCTAGACATACAATTTAGTTGACATGACTTCTTTTTTATTTCAGCCAAGGAACACCAATTCCCCCAGAGGTAATGGGTGTGATCATCGACAGCCTGCAATCAATGACTGCAGAACTGAGACAGACTGCAGCAGATACACACCAAGATCACTTCTACTATCGCTTGGAAAGCATTGTCCATGTTTTGTCCAGATTTACTTTGGCCGGAACACTTCAGCATGAGGAGGAGATTTTCGCTCTATTGAACTCGGCTTTAAATGAACTGGAAGTCCATGCATGGCCTGTCCAAACCGGCCAAAGTGTTTTCTTTCTTCACGAAGAGCAACTGCAATATTTGCTTGAAGAAAACTTTACTATCAGAGAAATGTCCACAATGTACAGTGTAAGTCCACGCACAATCTGGAGTCACATCAACTTTGATCTCTGCCGGGTAGACCGCTACCGTGTGGTCAGACAACTCTCGGAGGACACCCCACGTGGAATTAGGATCACTGGAGCTCTGGGGAGGTCGGCCCTCTACCTTAGGCCAAGTGTAAGCTCACAAAATGTATGGAAAGCTAAAGTGCATTCATCTCCCATTGCTTTCGTTTTGTAAATCTTTGTTATGTGATTTTCACTTGTTCAATTATATTCAACAGCAACCATTACATGACACTGATGAGTCAATCATGGACGTGGTAAGTCAAAATTCAAAGTAATGTTTGGATTATAAGGCTATTAATTTAACTGTCCCTAATAATCATTCATGAAACGGTGAATACCTCATTTTTTCTCACATTGCTTTTTCTATTTGTTACAAATAAAAGGCAACCATTGACAGCGACTCATCTGCGGATGATGCAGAGGTGAGGAAAAACACACAAGCCCAACTTCAATTATGACTGAAATGTATGTTAACTACTCCACTGCCTTGAAAACATATTTTAAGAAAACCCCCCCTTTGCCAAGAAAATACAAAGTCAA